ATAGTAATTAATCAATATTACTATTAGTGAAAGAATATAAAAAGGTAAAAGAAGATGAAAAACTACTTTTAATCTTTCTTATTTAATATATTCCTTGGAAATTAGAGAAACAATTAAATACTAATAAAATATTATCGTTAATGAGAGAGTATGAAAAGTGAGAAAAGATGAAAATGTCGGATAATAAAATTATTTTTAATATTTCTTATTTAATTTATTCCTTTAAGTTACAAAAGTTTGGAGAGTTACAATCCTATTAACTACTACAAAGATATGCGTCTCTCTCTATATATATAATATTTATTATTCATATAGTTTGAAGAAAATATAATTACATTAATTAAATTATTAACTAAATAATATGAATATATATTTTTTAATATAAAATATAAATATGCAAAGACATCATTGTCCAGTTAGGTGCAAAACTTTACACCAAAGATAGGTAGTATATCCATAATAATATTAAACACAAAAGAAAATATACACAAAATTGGGACTATTTAAAAAATTTATTGAAATTAGAAACCTATAATACAATAATTCTTGTTCTAAAAAAAGTCTTTTGAGAAAATTTACGAGATGTAAGCCAGAAATTCAGCATGTGTTATTATATATCTCTCCCCAGTATGATATTTATAAACTATTTACTTGATTGCACTCTTTATTACTTTTTTTTTCATACTATGTTTTATATATATATATATATATATATATATATATATATATATATATATATATATGGGGTAATGAACATATCAATACTCAAAAGATATTTTAACATATAAAAAATACGCATAAAAACTTCACTAAACCCCTATCATATGATTTTTTTTTCATAAATAATACTATTTTAAAAACTATTTTTAAAATAACATATCTGGAACATTATTTACCCAATTATTTATTGTTCACGGTACTCTTGCTCAAGCAAGAAATGCATCGTTTGAGCGAGGAGACCTGAAACTTAAGGGTTTTGTAGAGTTTAATTTCGCTCAAGCGATAAAATTCTCGCTCAAACGAGAAGTTCTCTCGCTCAAGCGAGAAACCCTTCGCTTGAGCGAGAAGACCTGAAACTAATGGGGTAATCTCGGATGTTTTTTCGCTCAAGCGACTAGTAATTTCACTCAAGCGAGAACTGATTTAAATATGTGGTGACTCAAGTTGCATTATGTGACTAACCGTGTTAGATCTTTAGCTCGTGGTCAATTCTCGCTCAAGCGATGAGTAATTTCACTCGAGCAAGAAGTGATTAGTTAACTGCGTTGGACTTTTTGCTTGTGGTAAATTCTCGCTCAAGCGAAAAATCCATCGCTTGAGCGAGAAAATTTATAATCGATTATAATTTAAATTAATTGATCAAAATTTTAAAATAATCGAATATTTAAAATTATGATCGATTATTTCTCTCACGCTCAAGCGAGAAATTGTTGAATTATTGGCAAGCGTACCAAATTATCAATCGCAGTATAGTATTTCGATTAAATAAAAGTCGATCCCACGAGGAACAGTTTCAATGGAAATTCCCAATTATGCTTACTAAGTAGATTAAAACAAATTAGGTTTTACAAATAAGAGTTGAATTGAAATTAAATGACAAAGACTTGTAAATTGTTGAGAAAATATCAATTAAAGGTACTTAGGATTGACTTCCTTCCTTATCCCTCTTTTGTAATGACTATGTCAATTAAGAACGTCAATTAACCTAACAATGTTGATGCCACCTACTCAAATCATCCATGTTGATTCCTCACACATGAAATTCATAAGAAAACCTAATAAATGTTGATTCCTCACATAATTAACAGTTTTTCCAGCATTAGGGTTAGAGTATTAAGCAATTGATACATTCATTCCATTCCTGACAATTAACGTAACAAATATTCATACCGTGATCTAGGGTTCAAGATATATTTTCCAATCATACCTCAAACAATCAAGAATAAATCATTCCAAAGCATAGAAGATAAGAATAACAACATCAAAGCATAGATTAATATCTCAAAATATCACCATGATACAAAAGAGTTCAAAGGAAGTGCACCGAATCCTAAGAGAATGAAGTTAGCCACTCATGTTGGCCATTACAATGCTCCAATTGATGAAGTGAAGAATTGATGAAGATTAAATAAAACCCTAATAGTAGTCGTGCCTCCTCTCCTCCAAGACTGCTTGTCTTTCTCAAAACACAACTTATCTTTTTATAAGAGAATTTGGGTCGGGCCTTGCATTATTCATTCGCTTAAGCGCTCTTCTTTCTTTCAATTTTACTCTAATTATGCTGACAATTATGCTCCTTCCTTTTGTATCAAGGTATTCTCGAATTCATCCTATATTGAGAGAAAAATATATTAGAATTAACATAAGTTAAGTGGTTTCATAACAATTCAAGGCATAATTATATCAACTTTTTACCACTTAACAGAAATCCATTGCTTGAGCGAGGAGATCTGAAACTAATGGGTAATATCGGGTCAATTCTCACTCAAATGATGGATAATTTCGCTCGAGCGAGAAGTGATTGGATAACTGCGTTGGACCTTTTGCCTGTGGTTAATTCTCGCTCAAGCGACAAATCCATTGTTTGAGCGAGAAAATTTATAATCGATTATAATTTAAACTAATCGATCATAATTTTAAAATAATCGAATATTTAAAATTATGATCGATTATTTTTCTCTCGCTCAAGCGAGAAATCAATCGCTTGAGCGAGGAGATATGAAACTAATGGGTAATGTCGGGTCAATTCTCGCTCAAGCGATAGGTTATTTCGCTCGAGCGAGAAGTGATTGGCTAACTGCGTTGGACCTTTCGCCTGTGGTCAATTATCGCTCAAGCGACAAATCTATCGCTTGAACGAGGTAATTTATAATCGATTATAATTTAAACTAATCGATCATAATTTTAAAATAATTGAATATTTAAAATTATGATCGATTATTTTTTTCTCGCTCAAGCGAGAAATCCATCGCTTGAGCGAGAAGACCTGAAACTAATGGGTAATCTCCGGTGTTTTTTCGCTCAAACAATTTGTAATTTTGCTCGAACAAGAATTGATTGAAATATGTGGTGACCCAAGTTGCATTATGAATGATTACTACATCCACGAAATTAGAGAATTTCACTGCAAGCTAAAGCTCCAATGCAGTTAGTTACATATGCAACTTGATCACCACATATTTTAGATAAATGACAAAATAACATTATTTTAGATAATCAACATTGTAACCATTTCTCTCACGGTGGGTACCTCGATGAAGGAAAAAGATAAACATACAAACAAACAAATTAATGATGGAATCAAGGAAGTTAATTGGTACTAAGTTTGAATAAGATGTAGAAAGTTAAACAAATTACAATTATCCTTCCTACCTTAAAGAGATGATTGCTTTTTCCTTTAAGCAAAAGGAAAACTCAACTAAATTATCAAAGAAAAATGAGTTGTGTGTGAGTTTCATCCTTTCGTGAATACCAAGTAAGCCATACAATTATTGAGTCATATGGTACTTTATCTTTAAACCATCCACTCATGGAACTAAACAATGTCAATACTCCTTAATATTGGAAGAGTAAAATATTACCCTGCACTTTGCAACTCATGCACACAAAATACAAATTAGGACGAGGTAGAGCAAAAGGGGGAAAACTGACACTCTTAAAAATTGGACTTAGGGTCTCACTCAACCCTACCATGTGGGATTAAACCACAAAACCTTTGAAGTTACAATTGCAGCAACTCTCAAATGAGGCCAAAGTTGGTAAACTAGGCATAACAATTAAAGCCACTTTAAACTACAAATGAAATGATACGATAATTTCAGAACAACAAGTTAAAGGATATAAACCTTGATATTTTGAAGGGTAAACACTGTAACACGACTCGAGCATATGTTCAGGAAGACAAGTTGCAACAAACAAAGGCCAACCACATGGTTTCATCACTAAAAACCCAAAAAATCAGGGAGGGGAACTATGAAACCAAAGAGTATACAATTAGACGAGTGAATGATGAATACATCAACCAAATATTAGTCGATTCAAATGGGAAAGAAAACCAACGGTTTTAGAAAGTTCACTATAGCTTCAACTTCTCTGCTTGATTCCTACAACAAAATTCAAGCAGGTGTCACGCTTTTCCTAGTTCCTCGATGACCATTTTCTCTTCCCAAGACAAGCACTCTTGCTTCCAATGTTGCTTACACCAACCATTGCATTTCAGAAATCAATTCTCGTCATTAATATCTCTTCTTGTTCTTCTTTCAGTAAATGTTTAGGAGTAATTCAGTTCAACTGAAATACGCTAGTTGTACACTCCAAAATTACCTCTCTATCATTTCATAGGATGTCAGAATGGGATATATATAGAACATAAGATATAAGTTTGGGAAAAAAGAATACCCAGAAATCAATCATGTCTTTCTTGACATGGTTGGTTACCAAAATCTTGCCATTCCATTCTGTTTTTTGTATGCTCTAATAGCACTCCTATACAACATCAAGCGAGGACAAATTTAATTGAAGGAAGATAAAAAAAAAACAATGGAAAGTTCATCTTCAAATTTTGGTCTGTTCTATGACCATTAAAGCTATGCATAGCAGTTAGCACTCTCATAACTTTTGCAAAGAACATGTACTTTAAATTACTTTAAATTATATTTCATTCCTTCATACTTTTATGAATGATATTGTTCTCACATGTCCTTGTGATGTGTACATTCGAATAAATTTAATAATTAATTAAAGCTATAAAATGCCTTTCAGATCTAGTTTGAATTTCCTTTTACTAACCATATATTAAATTAATTAATACAGCAGGATGACAACTAAGAACCATATATTAAATTATCCTGTTAGATCTAGTTTGAATAGTCTTTCAAGTAATGAAATTGCAAACCTCAAACACTAAACTTTTAGCATTGATTTGTGCACTCTATTTGTTTTTCCTTCAAATTGGGTTCTCTCTCGCTATCCCGAACCAACACCATTCTCGGTTTCCTGAAATGCTTGGTGGCAAAACAATGACCAAGATCTTTGTGTTGTTGTGTTTTCTCTTCTTAGCTACTTCTGGGTTTGTCCATGGTTCTGACAAGAAGAAGGATAATATCAGGTTATTTGAGCTGAAGAAAGGCGATCTTTCAATAAAGGTCACCAACTGGGGTGCAACACTTGTGTCCCTCATACTTCCTGATAAAAATGGTACATACATTCTTCTACTACTTAAAATTCAAACCTTTCAATATTAACTCATTGCTTTCTTTTATGCATTTTAAGACATTGATTATGTTTTCTTTCTCTATGAAGGGGTGTTGGGTGATATTGTTCTTGGATATGATTCTCCCCAGTCTTATACGGTTAGTCATCATATATAAATATTTTCTTTACATTTTAGTTATTAAACAAAAATTAAGGGTTTAAGACTTGTTTGTTTGTTTTTTTTAAATCTTCACTTATTTTTGATAATTTAATAATAATAATAAAATAGTAACTCAACTATATATATATTATTTTTGAATTATCTTTTTGCCATTGTATTTTGCTTTCGTTTACTGAAAAAAATGGAAAAGAATATGCATAAAACTTTTATCTCTGTAAATGATTCATACTAAAGATATATTTGAACCAACTTTCCGTAAAAGTTTTTAAAAAATCGAATTTTTAATAATTTAAAATCAACTTCTACATAAACTAATTTATAGAAGGCTTTTCATATAATATATTTTAAATTTTTTAACCATAACAGAAGTTAATTTTCATTTGAAAAAAAAAATCAATTAGTGTAAGAATGAACTTTTACGTCAGATATTTTTAATTTTTTTGATATTAAAACGGGAACACTAAATTTACGTCAAACTTCTTAATCTGACATAAATTTACATTCATTATAGAGATCCAATGTAAATTTATATTTTATATACTATTAAATAGTCAAAAGTTAAAAAAAATAAAATTAAATTTAGGTAACATATTAATGTACGTGACATAAATTTACTGTCATATGTTAATATACGTGACCTAAATTTAGTTAGCCATGGCTTTGAAATATAAAATTTAAAGTTGATTGACAAATGTAATAAATAAAATTTTGTGTCTGATCAAGATCCATCTATCAAGGGGAAAAGTCCATTCATGTTTTAGTCAACATCTTGGTATATTTTATTGAATAAAAAGTATTATCTTTTAAATGAGAATCATATTACAGATACATAAATTAAAGTTCTAAAAATTTTAAATACAATGAAAATGACTTATTAAATATATATATTACAAAAAATTACGAACTTCGCTCTCTTCTTTTTATATCTAAAATACAGAATTTTGCGTGTAAGATGAAAGAGTAGCAGCCAAAACACGTGGATAATTTTAAAGTATTTAAGTAAAAATCATAAAATGGATCAATCAGACTTAAGAAGTAGAAACATTAACTGTGATTAAAACGACGACATATTTTGCAGAATGATTCAACATACTTTGGAGCTACTGTTGGCCGTGTTGGTAACAGAATTGGAGGAGCTCAGTTCACTCTCAATGGAATCCATTACAAATTAGTTGCTAACGAAGGAAACAACACACTTCATTGTAAACATCTTTTACCATAAATATAATTGAACACAATTTTCTATAATTTCATGGTTCATGTTGCTGCAAAATTATTGAACACAATTTTCTACAATTTTATGGTCCATGATGCTGCAATATTTCTTCCATAACCACGATTTAAAATCTTAATTTGCTCGTGTATATATATATATATATATATATATATATATATATATATATATATATGTTTGCTTTTCCACATATCTCATATAGACTAACAACTCATCTCTCTTACTAACCTTATTTAAGCTGGACCCAAAGCATTCAGTGATGTTCTTTGGAATGTGGAAAGGTATAAAAAAGATGGTGACAGACCCAGAATCACCTTCAGTTACCACAGTTTTGATGGTGAAGGAGGTAACTAACCAGTGCTAACTTCATTCTTTTTTCATTTTGCTGAACCATGAAACTGTGTTGTATGTGGGTAATTTACACTTATGCTTTCACATCTTAAATTGTTTTGGTTTTGATTTGGTGATTATGTTTACAACTATTTACTTTCAAACTGAAACTCAAACATTCATATTTATGAGAAGAAATTACATAAGCATATAATATAATATACATATGTGAGATTTGAATTATGATTCAACATCTGTGTTTCAGGATTTCCTGGGGACCTGATTGTAACTGTGAGCTACATACTTGGGAAAAACTCACTGAGTATAATCATGAAAGCAAAAGCCCTAAACAAGCCTACTCCTGTGAATCTGTTGAACCATGCATACTGGAACCTAGGAAACCACAACAGTGGCAACATTCTAGATGAAGTGGTTCAGATATTTGGATCCCAAGTGACCCTTTTGGATGACCATCTCATTCCCACTGGAAAATTTGCCTCTGTGAAGGGAACCCCATATGACTTCCTTGAGCCGCACACTGTTGGGGAAAGGATCAACGAATTGCCCAAGACCAATGGCTACGACATCAACTATGTGCTTGATGGTGCAAAAGGCAAAGAGACCAAGCTTGGAGCCATAGTGGTGGATAAGAAGTCAGGGAGAGTGATGAAACTCTTCACAAATGCTCCTGGTTTGCAGTTCTACACTGCTAATTTTGTCCAGAATGAGAAGGGGAAAGGGGGGTTTGTTTATCAGCCACGTTCAGCACTGTGTTTGGAGAGTCAAGCATTCCCTGACTCTGTGAATCACCCTAATTTTCCATCAACTATTGTGACCCCTCAAAAGCCTTACAAACATGTCTTGTTGCTTAAGTTTTCCACCAAAATTCCACATGCCTTTTCACAATTCTAATTGGAATTGTGTGCTCTCAGCCACTCTATGTGCTTGTTGGTATCTGTGTAGCAGCATGACTCTGCTGTGCTCATGCGAACTTGGCTTTGGTTCATTAAACTGAATAATAAGATATGTCAATTTTCTTCCTCTATTGTTATTTTTCCTTCAGAAATTATAGGTATCATATCTTAGAATGCTATTTTTTTTTTTCAACATCATTTAAGTATGAAGAGTTTCCCAACCTGAGGTATATTTTCATAACCTCTCACCTCTTTGTTTTGTATTTAAAAGATTCGTCATTGTTTTGTACTTATATCTTAATGAATTAAGTCATGATTTTTTTCATAAATAATTTCATTTTAAAAAATATTTCTCAAACAATATCTCTACAACATTATTTACTCATCTAGCATCACTTATGATTCACGTTTGGAATTCGGTTTTCAAGGAACCAAATTCTGAACTACCATTTCTATTTTTTTTTTCAATCGGAATATTGGTTTTTTTTATTTTTTTTTAGTTTTAGTTTTATTAATTTTATAAATAGATTTTTTTTATAATTCTAAATATAATTTATTTTTAAGTTTATAATTATTGTTTTAATTTATGCAATATATAAATATAGCAGAGTCTATCAACTCTTTAAAAAAAAAAAGAAATCATCCATTTGCTCCATGGTCAACGCACCGTACACCCATTGCAACAAATTTAGAAATTATTGAAAGAGGGAGATAATTAGATGTCATGATTAATATTGGTCATGTATACTTTGAAATTTTGGTCACAAATTTAGAGGAAGCACAAACACAGGCGAATACGCATAGGATCATAACTTTTTACAGATCTACCACAAACTTTGTAGTAGAAGAAACACAAAACCCGCGTGAAGTTCGACCAGCAGAGAGATTTGCAGTTCACCTTGATGAGTTATGGTGTGACTGTGGGAAATTCCAGAAATTTCACATGCCTTGTTCACATGTTCTTGTTGCATGAAACGTGCACACCATGACTTCAACAACTACATTCATCCAGTGTATACCTTACAACAAATTTCAAAGGTATACGAAACACAATTTTGGTTACTGTGAAATGAAGAATATTGACCAACATACACAGGACCTACTTTGTGTGCAAATCCAGAAATGAAAAGAATTTTAAAGAGCCGATCAAGATCAAGCCGTATAAGAACTGAGATGGATATTACAGAAAATCAAAGTAGGATGAAAAAAATATTCATTTTGTCATACCCCTAGCCATAACAGAAGAACATGTCTCAATGTTGCATGTGTATCTACTTCGCATCATTAGATTGTGTTAGTTAAGAAATGCTCCAATGTATTATGAAACTTAGGATTTTTTTCAATTAATAAAATTTCTTCTTTACTTGATTAATTTAGAGTAATTATTTTTTATTTATACAATATAAAGTATTATATATAAAAATATAAATAAATTACTTTAAATATACATTAAATAATTACAAATAAAAAATATATATCAAATTAAAATTAAAAAAATAACTATTTATAAATTATATAAATTATAATTATAAATTTAAAAAAATTATATTTAGAATTATAACCTTAAAAAAATTATAATTATAAAATTAATAAAAATATATCTATTTTTAATGTTAAATAAATTATATATATTATATAAATTATAATTATATATATATATTACATAAATTAAAATTATATAAGTTAAAATTATATATATGAACTTTAAATTAATTATATATATATATATTGCATAAATTAAAATAATAATTATAAACTTAAAACTAAATTATATTTACAATTATAAAAAAAATATATTTATAAAATTAATAAAAAAATAAAAATTAAAAAAAATTAGAAAAAACAGTTTAGAATTGGGTTTCCTGAAACCAATTATGACTTAAAAAAATTAGAAATAATAGATCAAAATTTGGTTTTTCGATAATAAAATTTTAAACGTAAAAAGTAATATGGATAAATAATATTATAAAAATGTAGTTTTAGAAAATATTTTTTAAAATGATATTATTTATGAAAAAAAAATTATATATATACATCTTTAATTTCTAAACGAAAATACTAACTATTAATTATTAATTTGATATTAGACTTTTTACTTTGGGAATGCCTTACTGGTCTATCAGAAATTGAATATGGCAAAACCTCTAGGCCTATCTGATGATGCAACAAAAATAATTTTGCAGACACAATCAATTTATGATACACCTAAAAATGCAACTGTACAATAAAAATTAGAATAATAATAATACACGTACACTTTTTTAATATATACCTCTTTCAATCTTTTTCTTTATTTATCATATTTTAGTTTTTATAATTTTTTCTTTCTAAAAATAAATTATTATATTTCTTATAAATTTTTATTTTCATTTTTAGGAGGAAATTAATATTGAGTGCATAAAAAAATATTTTCCTAAAAGTGTCAATAGATTTTGTAAAATGTTGGTATAGTTCGTATAAGGGTGTATATACGTGTCTAATTTAACATGTCAGTTTGAATTTGAAGTTAATTTGCACTAATTTTAATTAAAAATTAAGGTTTTTAAAAATTATTTATTAATAATAAAACTTTTTTAATAGATAATATTTAATACAATATGATATTATATTTATTATTTTATTTATTTTAAAATATCAATTATAATTTAATTTAACTTTTATATTTCTTTTATTATTATATGATTTAACTATAAATAAATTAATAGTAAAAATTATGTAAAATAAATAAAAATAAAATTATAGATAATTAAAAATTAGAAAAATAATTTAGAGACTGAAATTGTAAATTTTACAATTTTGTAAAATATAGGAGCACTATTGAGGTGAGACGAGGTTGTGTTGCTGAGACAGAACAGCAACCAAGGATGGCACTGTTGTCTCATATTTGCTTCTCTCACTTCTCTTCAAATGCATTTTCTTCTCCATCTCTTCGTTCTGGGAAGACCCTTTTGCGGCATAGGCATAATAGTCCTTGTTCCTCAATGCCTTCTTCTTGGATATCGTTGGATGAGAGTGGTAAACGATCCAAGAGAGTGTGGATATGGACCACCAACAAGCAGGTAATGACTGCGGCAGTAGAGAGAGGATGGAATACTTTCCTTTTCCCATCACACCATCGACATCTTGCTCATGACTGGTCTTGTAAGTTCTTCATTTGGAAGGAAATTCTATCACCCACTTGTGTTTTTTGTTAGAATTTATTTTGAAAAATATTTACAATCTCAATCAATTGGGACTCAATCACTACGAATGACTTTGACAATGATAATTATAAAAGTTTGCAATTTTGTCATACATGAGACAATCCATGATTGACGATGCAAACAAAACCTACAACAAAAGCCTTATGATATTAGGTGAGGTTGGTTACATGAATCACACTATGCTATTCTGCTCCGATAAAGATCAATTTTTCAGAGACATTATTTACTATGATATCCCTCTAAACAACTTTCTCCAATGCGATTCTTGGTCCTGCTCTCCCTCTTTTCGTAGCTGGTCCCGGTAAAGGAGGAGGAGGAGACTTGTGTTAAGCTCTCGGCTCCCATGCAAAATGAGCGTGGACCATGATTGAAGAATGCATTCTGGTGAACTTCAATTTGTTAATACATGATAGTGGGAAAATGTTTTGTACTTAAACTTTGTGAAAAGGTCAAAATTAAATCCCTTCAGTGTTCTGTTCACCATAAATAAGATAAGATGACCATAATTGCTTTGTACATAATACATTTTTGGCTCTGAGTAAATAAGAATTTGTTATTGTTGGTGAACTGGTATCATACTAGAAGCATGTCTAATTTTATGAATTTGGAATTTTGGTCTTGATGGGGTACAGCCATTGCAGTAATATGCCCACTTTTTGTTAATGAGGGAGAGGTTTTGGATGAACAGAATAAAAGGGTAGCCACTATTTTTGACGTTTCGAACCCAGAGGAACTAGAGGGACTTAGACCAGAGGATGAACGGGCAGAGAACATTGTAGTTAATTTACTAGATTGGCAGGTATGTTCATTGTAGTTTGCTATAAGAATTATGATGGAATAGTTCATACACTTGTTATCCATGAATAATTTTGTCTATAGTTTACCCACCAACTTTAACTCTGTATGACTTTGACTGCATCACCTCAAAACCATTTTTTCCCGCTTGGTCTTATCTGACATCAATTTTTGCAACAAAATCTTTTGTCTTTTGAAAGTGTAATGTAGTTTGTTTCCAATAATTTACACTTCTTGTTTTCAATAATTTTCTTTGTTTTGCATTTTCTTAGGTAATACCTGCTGAAAATATAATAGCTGCATTTCAAAGAAGCCAAAAGACCGTGTTTGCCATCTCTAATAATACATCTGAAGCTCAGGTGTTTCTTGAGGTATATATATATATTAGGAGAACAACGAAGTAAGCTCAAAAGAGAGTTGAAGTTAGTGTGACTGCATATAATAGTACTCCTTTTCTTTCAGCTTTAACTCTCTTCTCACGGTTGCAACCCTTGGATTTTATAGGCACTTGAACATGGTTTAGATGGCATAGTTATGAAAGTTGAAGATGTTGAGCCTGTTCTTGAGCTAAAGGTATTCTGTACCTAGATGAGACTTCTTCAGTAATTAGGCTTGACCTCTTATTTCAGTTAGAAATTTTCAGGCATATTTTGACAGAAGAATGGAAGAAAGCAATCTACTGAGCTTGACCAAAGCCACTGTGACACAGATTCAAGTGACTGGAATGGGGGATCGTGTTTGTGTAGATCTCTGCAGTCTCATGAGACCCGGTGAAGGACTTCTGGTATGTCTTGGTTTCCTCTGCAACTTTTAAATTATTTATTGGCTAATGCAGTGAAGCTTTCATACTTATTGTCCAAATATTTGCCACAGGTTGGATCATTTGCGAAAGGATTGTTTCTTGTTCACTCGGAATGCTTGGAGTCAAATTACATTGCAAGCAGGCCTTTTCGGGTGAATGCAGTAAGTTGTGCACACAAGCTTGAAATTATTATATTCATTGCCTTTGATCTTGGATAAAGTCACCTCCTTTTCATCAAAATTCACGACAATGGGGTGACTGTGTGAGACTTGCCATCAAAACCTGTTAGGGAAAAAGTATCAGTTATGGTATTATGTGTGTAATCCTCACCTTCCAATGTGGATTTTCTAGGCTTTTATATAAAAGTCAATCACCAGTTTCAAGTAATTTTAACGGTTTGACTGCATTTATAAACACTATAATAATATGTCTTGGGATTGCGTGTAATAATCTTTTTTAATAGGGAATTTTTGCTTCTTTACTTTCAAAGCAGACTTTCGCCAAGCTTTATTAAAGCAGCATATTACTCATGATAATTTTTTTCTTATTCTTCATGAAATTTTAATAGAATTTACATGTTCTAGAAGTATTGTGTGCTCATGTTCTGGAATCATAACCTAGTGACTTGATAGCTGAAAATTTTCTAACCTTGCATGTCTTATTTTGTTAGGTTAACTAAGCCTAGTTACTTTGTTGAAGATGAAAGGTTGATGTTTCTAATAAATTTTTTGTTCTTTTTTGCATTCACAATGTTTTAGAGTTTTCAGTTTAAAATGTTAATTATGCTGTCTACAGAAGTAGTATGCACCCTCTCTAACCCATTACTTATCATAACAGGGACCAGTGCATGCCTATGTTGCTGTTCCAGGAAACAGAACATCATACCTCTCAGAATTGAACTCAGGAAAAGAAGTGATTGTGGTTGATCAGCAGGGTCAGCAACGAATTGCAATTGTTGGGCGTGTAAAGATAGAAAGTAGACCACTAATTCTAGTGGAGGCAAAGGTTTGTCAATGCATTATTGAAAAAGTTGATTGAAAAGTGTTTCTCTGTAACTTCTAGCTCGATTTCTTTAATGGATGTGCTATAGTGCACTTGCAGTGGAATTTATCACGTTAATCTAAAACAATATCTTCTTAAAGATGAATCGGTCGATAATATACTGTGAGATTATAACTTCTCTTCAGGGGTTTATGGAAACTCCTAAAACGTTTCTTATAGAAACTAATTCTGAGATAGAACGGATTCTTAAAAAATCCACTTCCAAGTTGGTTTTTACCTAGTCCAACTTTTTTTTCTTATGCTATTTCTTCCTCTTCATTTTCCCCTTGTCCTCCTCAACTGGATCTAAGCGTTGTTATTGGATAAGATAAAATTGCAAAAAACCACTCATTTATCGGTAGACAGTAAACATGTTAGGTGTTTTTAATTTAAAACCAGATAGATAAAAAGTGATTTAAAATAAAATTTGACTGAATTTTGGGTTAAACCTAGTTATATAATAACCACTCTTCAGCAATATTGTACATTTATGGATGAACGTTGTGTGGCAGTAACGAACAAAAATTTTGTTGTGTCATGCGAAAACTAGTAATTTATCACTATATCAGGTCCTTCTATTGCTGTTTACTGACACACCTATCCAAAAGTCTGATCTGTTAATAATAATTGTGTCATTTCAGATAGAATCAGATAATCAAACTATCAGCATCCTTTTACAAAATGCAGAAACTGTTGCATTGGTTTGTCCCCCACAAGGTAATTCAGTCATTTTTTTTCTTTTGTTTCTGGTAGTTTGTTGAGTTTCCTAAAGTGTTGTCCATTTGCCCATGCAGGAAATAATACACTGCCAAAAACAGCCATTCCTGTGACCTCACTCAAAGTTGGAGATGAAATTCTGTTGAGAATACAAGGAGGTGCTCGGCATACAGGAATAGAAATTCAAGAATTTATAGTTGAGAAATGAACAAGTAAATAATGTATTCATTCAAATTGTGAACTTCTGTTTTCCCTGCAGTTGTGATGCTAGAGTAGACTTGGCCAGAGACATAGAAAAGGGCAGGCTATGTTTTGTTCTGCATAATGACATTGAAGCTGTTAGTGTCTATTAATTTCACCACCATGATTGAACTCTAAATGCACGTTGGATGGAAGTAGCTCTCCATTTCATTCTTTCAAATGCTTTTTTGAACTGAGGGTTTGCATTGGATACATCTAAATCAAACAAGTTGCATATATCTTCAAAATTTAAAAACTGAGACATTTCATCTGAGTTTGGCTTTATTCGACACCTAATTGAAAATTGTGTGTCAACACCTATGTCTTGTTGCAGATTTGTTATGGTACCAGCTTCAGTGTCCCTTTTGTTCTCTTTTCTGAGAGCATGGATATATATTTTACTTTACCACTTCCACTGAGAAATAGAATTAATCATTCTGTACTATAAACAAATGACAAATCCTTTAAAGTATTTTCTTATGTCGGCATACAAAGTAATTCAAGACTTGGAGAACATGTAGATAACAAGATTTCTTGTGGCCTTCTGTCAAGTTAGCTTCACAAAAATATAAAGCATGTATTTAGAATATAATAATTGATAGAATCCCTTCTATAAAAAAATTATCCAGAAAATGTACCTTGATCATAATCTTATTTATGGGTTTTAATATGGAATCTACTAAACATTTATTGTTATAACGTAATTTGCCATTTGCGGCAAAACCGCGGAATTCGTTTCTAAATTTTTTAAAATGGATATCTTTTTGAAAAATTCTTTAAATAATAAATTATTTAAATATATATATATATATATATATATATATATATTAAATAAGATTTTTTATTTTATTTTTAATATTAAAGTCTTACTTCAATGTATTATTTTAATTTTTTTTACATTATAAAGAATTTTTTTAGTGAAGTCGTAGGATTTTATTTTATTTTTTTATATATTTTTTAATTTTTATATAATTATATATTTATTATTATTATTTATTAAAAATAATTATATTAATAAATAATTATTATAATCATTAATATTATTAATTTTATTTTTTATTATTATAATTATATTTCTTTTTTTTATTATTAGACAATTATAAATTTATTATATTATAATAATAAAATTAATAATTTTTATTATTATGATAATATTATTTATTAATATATTTATTAATTTTTTTATTATTATTGTTATTTGTATAAAATGATAATAAGTATAACAATAAAAAATGTAATAAATAATAATACATAATAATAATATTAATAATAATAATAAAATTAATAAATATAATAATAAAATTATAATTTTAAAAAATAAAAAATAATAATTATAATTAAAGGAATAAATAATAAAATTAATAATATTAATGATTATAATAGTTATCAATACGTAATAATAACTTTAATTACTATTATTGATATATTTATTATTTTTATTTATTTAAAATTATGATAAGTATGATAATAATAATTGTAATAAATAAGTATAGTAATAATAAAATTAATTGATATAATAATAGTAAATTTATAATTGTATAATAATAAAAAATTATTATAATTATAATTATAGAGTAAATAATAAAATTAATAATATTAATTATTATAATAATAATAATTAATAATATTATTGTAATAGTATTTTTATTATTATATTTTTTAATTTTATTATTATTGTTATTTATTTAAAATGATAATAAATATAATAATAATAAAATTAATAAATATAATAATAAATTTATAATTTAAAAAATAAAAAATAAAATTATAATTATAATTATAATTATAGTAATAAGTAATAAAACTAATAATATTAATTATTATAATAATTATTTATTATTAACAATATTAATTATAAATATTATTATAATAATAAATAGTTATAATAATTAATAGTAGAAAATGTGATTATATAAAGTTAAAAAATATAATATAAAGTGAAGTCGTATATATAAATACAACTTAGAAAAACAAAATACTTTAGAATATAAAAGAAAAAAAAGTAAAGTTGGATATTGAAATACGATTTCAATATTAAAAATAAAAAATAAAAAATAAAAATAATGATGTTTTAAAATCCTATTTTTCATCTTCGAATTTATGTTTTAAAATATGATTTATTTAATTATAAACTTTATTTGCATAAGTTTAGAAACAAATTGTATTACATTAATGTTTTTGCCTTCGTTTGTAGAACTCATATAAAGGTTATATAACATTTGACTGATTTACAACTTGTCTCTTGAAAAAAAAATGGAACCAATTATATAAAAGCTAACAATCAATTAAACTTATGATGAAAAATATTGAAAAAACAATAGTTAAAAAAATAAAAAACCTAATGTTTTTTTTAAAGGTTAATTTAATCCTAATATTATATATAAAGATTATACCATTCATTATGTATAAATAAAAGATGAGATTAATGTCCATAATAATTAAGTTATGATAATTGACTTTGTAATTTGGATTACTATCTCTATTTAGATTTGTTTGCTATACTATGGAGGTAGAATACATGGTAACCCCAATAGATTTCATAAGAAAAAGTAAATAGTTATGTACATAAGAAACTAATGCTAAGTTGGATGAAGATCTAGCTAGGATTTGGATGAAGGTCGAAGTGGAGGTGGAGGTAAAGGTGGAGGTAGAGGTAGAGGATAGTCTTGAAAGCACCTTGGAACATTTGAAGAAGAACCTATTCCAAGGCCATACTTGGTAGCACTACCATGGTTGGATGAACCTATATGCATTCTCCCAAGTGAGGTTGAAGGAACTGATACTGAAGCATCTTGATCATGCAAAGACTTCAACTCACGAACTACTTCACTCATAAGAGGTCTTGTTTTGGGGTCAAGACGAAGACATTGAACAGCTAACCTCATTGTCCTATGAGCAAATTTTGTTGGGTATTGACCTTCAAGTCTAGGATCCATCAAATAGTGAAAATTTGCTTTGTTTCTAACACGAGGCCCCAACCATTTCATCAAGTTTTGCTCCTCTAGAGGCATTGTTTCATCTATCACTCTTCTTCCTGTCAAGAGTTCAAGTAAAACCAGTCCAAAGCTATAAACGTTGCTCTTCGAAGTAAGCTGTCCTGTGTCAACAACATTCTTCCATCTTAACAACAAGTAGAAAATTGTACTTTAAGCAAAAAGCTATTCAGACTCAAGGATCATGGCATTTTAACCTGTCATCACATACTCAGGGGCTTCATACCCTTTTGATCCTACCACCTTACTTGTCACTGGAGCATCTTTTGCAAAACCAAAGTCCCAAAGTTTTGTGTTGTAATCCTTGTCCAATAAAATGATATTAAAATGTAGTTAAAGGTATATATATATTGAAAAGTAGCATATTGTATACCTTTTCCAATAGGATACTAGATGTATTAAAATCTCGAAATATTAATGGTCTTGAAGCTTCCTCATGCAAAAATGCCATGCCATTAGCAGCACTAATTGCAATTTTCATTCTTGTAGGCCATGTAAGAAACCTAGTTCCTGCTGATAAATGAAAACATAATAAGTTGTTAGTTCTATGATATATTTCTAACATATACAATATTCAATAACCCAAACACTAAGCAAAATAAGTTTAAATTCTATGAAAAAAATAGATTAAAAGTGCAAGTTAACATAAAGGTTAGTTAAAATGGAATTGTTCTTATTTTGATCATTAAAAAAATAAGGTAACACTTAAGTGATTAATTAATCTATTTATATATAATTCAAATTCTAATTGCATTAGAAATTTTATATTGATTAAATATCCCCATTTTTCACATTAATAGTATAAGGCTTAAAAATATATTTGCATTAGATTAAAATATCATTTTAAACTTGAGATTGTTCAGAAATATTTTGTCCCATGAAGACATTACAAGAATATTGAAAGTTTCAAACCAAAGTAGTCTAAAGTAGTAGCTTATGAATGTTATTTATTGCTATGCATTATGCACATGCAATAATGACATTGAAATTTTTGTAATATTGAATAAAAAATCATAAATAAACAAACAAATAAATAAAGGGGTCAATTTATTTTAAGAAGATACTTTTTTATTTTATTTTATTATTATTTTTTATTTGTGAAAATATAATTGAGTGATGACAAATAAAAAATGAAAGTAATAGAAAAAAGATAAATTTTTTAAACCATAAAAACACTATTAAAAAATTAGCATGACAAATGGATTAATTGATACACTAGAACATACTCTTGAAAAGATGCTTTTCTAAACTTCCTTCACTCATATGCTCGTATACAAGTAGCATTTTCTCATCCTCAAGGCAAAACCCTACTAATTTGACCAGATTTAAATGATGAAGTTCACTAAGATAAATAATCTCATCCTGTATATTCATGAAACAAAAAAACAAATCAGTTTTTCATGTTAGATAAAGAAACACAATAAGGATTATCAACATGGTGGCATACAAGCCATTCATTGTGATGTTGAAGTCTATTGAAGTTAAGTGCTTTTACTGCAATGGGAATCCCTGTTCCAGGTCTTGCTGCATAGTTGCCATATGGATTAATCCAACCTTTCAATAAAATTCCAAACCCTTCCTCATCAAAAAAATTCTCAACCTTAAAAGATCTCGTTGCCAACATAAGATCGTGAAAGGTGAACCTTCGAAGAAGCAAAGAAGCTACAATTAATTTTTGATCAAGAGGACTTGATCTTGCATAGTTACTTAACTTTCCAGTGGATGATGATCTTTGGGCAATTACATCATTTCTATCAATATCATTTCTACAATTTCTTCCTGTTGATTCAAGAGTGGAATAAAAGTAATTTAATAAGCGACATATATATATATATATATATATATATATATATATATATATATATATATAAAATTAGAAGCAGCAATTAAATCTAAATTTGTAAGAGGATCAAAAAGATTTTGAATTTCCCATTTACATATACATACACACATACATTAAATAAATGATTTTGTCTTTAAAAAATCACATTCAATTTTATTTCACAATTAACTATGTTAACATATTCACACAAACTCTAGGTTGATTTGGTTCAACTAAAGTGTTTATATCGTGAAAGGAAAGAGTGGTGGGTATGTAATGCAAATGAAAAACTAATTAAAGAGAACAAAAAATGTTATAGTGATATGATTTGAGAACAAAAGTCAATATTAAGTGTTTTAATAGTGAATTATATGCTAATATAATGTATAAAATTAAACAAGAAACGTGTGTGAATACTAAGAATAATGGTGAAAAAAAGGTAGAATATATATAGCATGACCTTGATTGATTTTGGAATTCCAAAACATGCAACCTAGAAAATTCCTCAATTTCTTCCAAAATCCTGAACCTTCATGAGTGGTACCTTGAACAACTTTATTGTTTCTCCCTCCATTGGATTTGCCCCTAACTGTAGAACCAACCCTAATACCAGCAATGCTTCCCATTTTTTCAGTTCAGATCCCTAAAACATTCAACAAACACAGATTTCAGCAAAATGTTAATATTCTTTTGTAAACTGATCTTAATATTCTTCGGTGTTTGATAGAATTGTTCAGTAGAGTGTGTAGCATCATGTTCTATATTAAAGCATCTGTGTGTTTAATATTTTATGAGGGTCCATACTTTTACTAAATAAGAATAATAATAATAAAATTTAGGGGGGTGAAATTTGAGAAATTATTTGTGAGGTCCATTAGTAAATTTCTTTTATCATAAAAGTCAACAAACCTTTCATGAAATAGTCGGGTTTAAATAAACAAAGATTACGATAATGTGATTGTATTTTACTTAAAAGCATTTTGGCATATAAAAGAGTTCAATCATAACAATGTATATACTAATTTTAAGAATAATTTTCTAACTCAATTTCTTACAATATATAATTGTTTGCTGTTTAACTAATACATAATCAAACAATCAAGTTAAAAACTTTGGTGATTGAATATGAAAAATAGTTGTGTACAAATGAAGAAAATTGATATAATCAATGAATGTTGAGAGAGAGCACATTCTCACGCGTAAAAAAAAATTAAAAATCACGTAATTTTTTTTAAAAGAAAATTTGGACTCGTAAAGTATTAATTAAATTAAGAACCTTCTGTATGATAAACTCTCGAGATTTTAATTAAAATATTAAATATTTTTATGGGGTTAATTAATTAAAAGACAAAGGAAAAAAAAGTAACATAGGATATAGTGAAAACTAAAAGTATCGTAATTTATATATATATATATATATATATATATATATATATATATAAAATTAATATAATAATTGTTTTCAACAATTTGTTTAGAGATAAATTTAATGATCGAGTTTAATAAGCATTAAAAACAAATAAAAAGATTGAGTTGTATACTGTAAACTAATTAGAAATTAAAACTCTATTTCATAATTATATAAATTTTTAAGATAATTATTAACAAATATATACATGTGATTATTTCTGATTGAATAAGAACATACAACAATATTCACAGTATTTATATTATTTTTCTGTCATAAATTAAACAGTATTGTTTATTAAGATAAAAAGTTTATGGGCGTTACAAACCATTTTCAACAGCATCAATCATCACAGCAAACAGAATTTATAAACGCAAACCAATGAAAAATATAAGAAATTGATATTGGATGCATAAAAAACAGAAATCTAAAACTATTTCGAAAATCAGACACAGAATGCCTTACTTGGCTACAAAATGGAATGAACAGCACTGAACTGCTTTATTGCAGAGAAAGAATAGAACCATTGCTGAACCAAACACATTTCTTTGTGAAAACAGCTCGTTGAATGCAATGTGCAGAGAACTCCGTGAACCACTGCAATCGCATTCCCAGTTTCTGTGTTCATCATTTTGTAATTATGTAGGGTTCAGCACTCACAGGGTTTGCAGATATCAGCAAATTAATATATATATATATATATATATATATATATATATATATATATATATATCTAACAAACTAATCACTTAATTAGTATATTAACTGATTATAATTATCATTGACCAGGTGTTTACTTATATATAATTTTTCAATGATTTTGAATGCATAAATCTTCTAATTAAATGTGGTCAAGGTTATAACAGTACACATGTAATTTTTTAATTAAATTTTAACTTAATTACTTCACATACTATTCATTGGTCAATAGTCAACTCCTTCATCATATTGCAACAAACAGTTACACGTGTCACTACATGTTCCTATATTATTACTTGTCCATGTATTTGTTTTAATTTGTATGCACTTTTGCTTGGTACATTGTGTTCTTATCATATGAATATGGTTCTCTGTGTTGTCATTTTGATTTAGGTTTTTAAATATGTAAAGGAATCTTAAGTCTACGCATCTTATTGAACTAAATTTATAATTTGCTATTAATGATTTTTCGCTTAAAAATTAACCAAATGTTTTATGAAATATTTGGAATTAATTTTTTATTATTTTTCCTAAAAAAAAGTGTATCCTTGTAAAAGAAAATAACTTCACAAGCTGTAATGTTTTTTTTTTCTACAAGCTATTGTAAACTAACTTCGAGTATCTAATTTTAAAAATTACAAGATCAAGGACTTGATTATTACATTTTTTTATCAAGGTTGAAAAGTTACACAAGATTTATGAATATTATATATGTACAGTAAAACATAAATTAATCTTGAATTTTTTACATCTTTGCTTTTTACAGCCATCTATAATATAATAAATTATTATTTTTTTAATTAATTTATTTATTTATTGGATTTTCTCTTTCCTTTCCATATCTATACATATTTGGTTTTGATTCATCAAACGATCAATAAGGCTAATTTATTTAATTAAATAATTAAGTTCAAATTCGATATTGAATTTAATTATTGACTATCATTTGTGTCTAATTTCCTCATTTTTCTAATAAAATCTTTTCTATTATGGAGTAAATACACGTTAATTGTAATAAATATTGATTAAACAATAAATTAATAAAGTGTTTAATTAATATAAAGTTAATAAGAGAAGAAAAATAGCACTTCCTTTTTATAAGAGATGTAAATATTTCATTGCACTTTCTTATATTGAAGTATAAAATTTACGAAATTTAGCATAACACAGTAAATTTTATTTTCTGAGAGATGCAAGTACGATAATTATTGTAATATACAATTTAATTTATTTAAATTTACACATTTAATGAATGTTATTTAAAATATTTTTAAGTAAAATTATTCTAAAATAAATTGATAAAATTTCATATCAACAACTACAAATCTCATTTTATAAATGGATGGTGTAAGATCAAATTATATATATATATATATATATATATATATATATATATATATATATATAATATAAGAGTTATCAATAATTTGACTAACTTGATTGAAAATGGTAATAGAAATTTTCTTCAAGTGATTAAACTGGTCTTGTTTAAGACATTTTGAAATTGAGGAGGCAATCATATTTTAGAAAACAAAAACATTTATTGTTAAAATAGTAAATTAATAAGGTTTAACTCCTTTTATTTTCTTGAGAAAGATAGATAAATTTCTAACAAATATGGAAAGATTATAGCATTCATAACTGAGAAAAAAAAAAAAAAGGTAAGACAACTACTTTGTACTTTAAATTGCTATCCCAATTTAAATTTGTTAAATGCAAAATGAAATTAGACAGCATGGTAATTCCACTGTAGTTTGAAAAAAACAAAAAGTTTACATGTACAAGAAACTCAACATTAGGGTTTTATGAAGGCTAAATAAACCCTAGGATTTGGATAAACTAGGGTTTTGGTGTTAGAGGGCTATTTTGACCCAGTGGCGAGGCTTGAAAACGCAGTGGAACATTTGGTGCCGGACCAGTTCTAAGGCCATACTTGTTAACACCAGCATGGTTTGAGGGGCCAACATGAATTCTTGGAAGTGAGGGGATTGAAGGTGAGGGAGATGAGGTTGAGGGACCAGAAGGCATGTCATCATCATGAGCGAGCAAAGACTGCAACTCGCGAACCACATCACTCATAAGGGGTCTTGTTTCTGGATCAAGGCGAAGACAGTGAATGGCCAACCTCATTGCCCTATAGGCTTGTTTCACAGGATATTGTCCTTCAAATCTAGGATCCATCACTTGATGAAAATTTTCTTTTCTCCTAATACGAGGTCGCAACCAATCTACCAAATTTTTCTCTTTTGTTGGCCTCCTTTGATCAACAGCTCTTCTTCCTGTCAACATTTCAAGGAGAACCATCCCAAAGCTGTAAACATCACTCTTCGAAGTAAGGTGTCCTGTGTCAACAACATATTTAATGTTAAAACTTGCATCATATGAAACATTCTTAAACCATGCATACATTGTTTCCATGTGTAGTGCATTATGTGAACTGTCATTTTATCAAAACGAGTGCACACTTGAACGCTGAAAATTTTAGGGAGTAGAAGCTATTCAGATGCAAGGATCATAAAAGTTTGATAACAAAATGAGATGTTTGGGAATATACTAACCTGTCATCACGTACTCGGGAGCTATATAGCCTTCGGTTCCCATCACCTCAGTAGATATATGCGTTTTATCTCCCACTGGTGCATCTTTTGCAAACCCAAAGTCTGAAAGTTTTGCGTTGAAGGCCTGAAATGGAATGATATATTAAGATGTTGATAATGATGAATAAAAAGTAGTATAATAAGCAATGCAAGGTTCAAATTATTACCTTATCTAATAGTATATTGGATGTCTTGAAATCTCGAAATATTACTGCTAGTGAAGCTTCCTCATGCAAAAATGTCAAACCATTAGCAGCATCCATTGCAATTTTCATCCTAATAGACCATGGAAGTCGCGTAGTTCCTCCTATTACATGAGAATATTACTGCTTAAATCAAACACTTATAATACAACTATTGATAAATAAACTACTTAAATATGGCAGTCTTGATCTATTAGAAACAAATTTCAATCAAACAATGAGTTAAAATTACACCATACTTTGGAACAGATACTTCTCTAAGCTTCCTCGACACATGAACTCGTATGCAAGTACCCTTTTATCTTCCTCCATGCAATAGCCAACCAATCTTACTAGATTAGGATGATGGAGTTCACCCAGATATTTGATTTCAGCCTGCAAAACACAAAACAGTGAAGAGGTTTAATCTTTTAATCTTAACACACAGTAACTAATGTAAAACCATGACACTTAGTTCCAAAATAAAATGAGCAAATATACACTGCAACTTCTCTAATCTCGTGTGAGTTTGCACATTATTACTCTTGTCTTGTTTAACATTGACAGTAACTCCTTAGATGATACACATTGTAATGTTTATGTGTTCAATGATAGTGTCAAAAGCAATGTAAAATTTATAAATCAATTGAAAGGGTTTGGAAAAACAATATTTCATATACAATCTGAAGAAATCGCAGCAACTATCGATGTAGTTTACTCGATAAAAATAGTGAAAGTTAAATAAAAGGCTAACTTATAAAGAAATATACTCAGGGTGGGAATTATGACTTACAAGCCATTGTTTGTGACCTTGAAACCCATTTGGGTTGAGAGTCTTCACTGCTACTGGAATCCTTGTACCAGTTTCTGCATAATTTCCGATTTCATCAACCCAACCTTTGAACACAGTTCCAAAACCTCCCCTACCAAGAAAATTCGTACTGTCAAAATTCTTTGTTGCCAACTGAATATCGTGAAAAGTGAACCTTCTAAGATTGGAAGAACTTTTAATAAATTCCTGGCTTTCGCTGGTGGATGAGGATCTTTTCTTCTCAACATTTCTTCCTGTTGATCACAGGGAAAACAAAAACTATAAAACAAAATTTAATCAACAGCATAAAATTGTACACGAATTAGCCACAATAATTAAGTCTAATTCAATTTTGAGAGATACACCATATCTGTATTCTTTAACCAAAAAAATGTTTTTTTTTATTTTTTTATTTAACAACTGATTCCATAAACATAACCTTAGAGTACCAAAGTAGATTGAGTTCAACTTATTTTAAGAAAAGAATCGATCTTTTGCTTTTGGTTTCTCGAAAGATCTTATGAAAAAAAAAAAAATCAAAATTTATAATCCTGATCTTCTCGTTTTTTCAATTTCTTTTCCTTTTTCAAGTTACATAGATGTAAAAGACTTAAAAAGAAAAGAAGTAAATGGAAATAAACATATGGCGGGGGGCTTGATATTAAATCCCAAAAAGAGATTCACATGATTGACCAATTAATATATATTTTGATTTAAGGTAAATGGAAAAATAAAAGAGAAGAACCAGAAAAAGAGATCCAAAAATTTTGTGTGTGGATTTTGAGTGTCTACACAAATAGAGAGAGAAAAACTAAAAGCAAGAGAAATAATAATGTATTATGAAGACAAAGATTAGAAAAAGATGAACTATGAGAAGAATGGTTCAACAAGTTACATACCTTCACCTTGTTTGCTTTTGTCAATGGAGGATCCTTCTCCTTTTGAACTAAAAAGCAAGCAACCTAGAAAAAACCTCAATTTTTCCCAAAATGTTGAACCATTTTCAGAATTACCTTGAGCAACATCTTTGTTTTTTCTCCCTCCCTTGCAATTACCATCACTCGTACCAATACTCCCCATATTTTCAGTTCAAACACCTTAAAAATTGACACAAAAAAGAAAAAATAGCACAAAATTCTTAAAAATCACAAAGGAAGAAGAGGAATGCCTAGCTTTTTTTGATGAATAAAAGGAAAACCTTGTAATTCTTGTGTCAAAAGATCTTGTAATGCTTCGGTAATCAATATGAGATGTGCAACAAAGAAAACAAGAAATGCAAGTATTTAACAATGGGTGCTTAAATATTTAATAAGGGTCAATGTGTGCACATTTATTATTCTTAATAATAATAAATTATTATTATTAATAATGATAAATAAATAAGTAAATGATAAAGTAATGAATTTAATGCATTAGAGTCATTTAGTAATTTATTTTAAAGGAGAGATGACTTTTTTTAATATACATTGTTTATAACCGTTTCAAGGTTTTGTTTCAACATTTTATCTCATACTAATTTGGTTAGGTCAAATATTAAGTAAAGTATAGTCAAGAATTATTTTCATTAACTATCTGTTAGTGGCAAATCGAGAAAAGCGATCGAAATCGAAGGAAAGAAATGTGACTCGATAAGATAAACAAAAATTCATTCGATGACTAATTAGAAATACATAGCATATAGCATCGAGAAGCACAATTGAGAATCGAACGAATAATAATCAAATGACTGTTGTCGAATAAAAACTAAATCATGTAAGACCAGGGTTAAAAAGGAATCGTAAGCAATTCGAAGTTCTCGAAAAATACAGAATCGAGAGTAAGGAAAGCCAATATGGACATCGAGACTTTGGCCAAATCGTGAAAGGAAGTAAGTCGAATGCACGTATAAAGAGCAGTTTTGAAATCATGGGAAAAAGTCGGAGATCGTGAAGAACGTGGGAAACTATAGAAGATAAACGGCCATACGCACGTAGAACGTGGTAGCAGTCGTGTTAACTGCTCTTGGAAGGCTTGAAGGATACCCTATAAATAGAGCAAAGGAGGAAGGAAAAAGGGGGGGGGGGGAAGAGAAATTGGCAGAGAACAGAATCAGTAGTGACAAGTCTACCGGAGAAACGACGAACACCATAAAGCTTCTGGCAATCTGGATTTCCTTACTCACTGAGTACATTTACCGCTTTCTATATTTTCCTTGGTAATTTACTTTGGTGCAACTTAAATTCAGCAGTTTTATGTTTCTGTATTTTCGATTCCTTGTCCATTTCAATTCAATGAAAATTTGAGTTTCTGCATTTAGATTTCCTGTTATTTAACATTCTGCAAATCTCAATTTCCTGTCATTTACTTTTCTTGCAATCTCGATTTCTTGTCATTTATATTTGCGTTGTTTTCGATTTCTTGCTATTTACAATTAATGCAAGTTTGGGGGTTTTCGCAATTTACATTTCCTCGCAATTTAATATTCCGCTTTTCGATTCGATAGTCTTAATGCTTTCGATACTTTAAATACAAAACACCAAAAACAGCATTTTCGATATCCTGTAGTTTTCGATTCTCATACACGTTTTCGATTGAAAATCAAATTGCTAGCCTAAGTAAAAAGAACTTACGTGGTAGAATTTTGATTAGGACCAAAACACCCTTAGAATCGAAATCGATCGAAATTCCACCAGAAACAAATTGGCGCGCCGAGTAGGGGAGTCTTGTGTTGAGAAACACCAAATTGGTTAGTTCGAAATTGTATGAGATTAAGGAGTGGGAGAGTCATGAGTCGAGTTCATCAAATAACCAAGGTAACGAGTGAGGGATTAAATGGGTCATACCCACCAAATACTGGGGGGCAAAGTCATAATGAGAACATACCTGTAGTATCGACAACTGTGAGCATGTCGATACCTGTGAGTAGTGAACAAAATTCAGGTACATTAGCAAACACCCAAGTAGGATCTAGTACGGTGATACCAAATAATATGCAAACTATAGGAAATCCCACAACCACATATGTAGGGCCACGTATGAGTGTAAGACCGCCCGGGTTTTCACTTAATAATGTGAGTGGGGCTGGAACTTCTTCAACGCATAGGAATTCGAGATATAACTTAGGAATGTCCCAAACACTAGGTATGCCACAAAATTTTGGAATCCCTCCGAATTTAGGGACGTCGCAAAACTTAGTAATTCCCCAGAATTCAGGGAATGGACAGAATGTAGGCACACAATAGATACCTCCAAATCTAGATCATAGGGGAAACTTAGATCATGGGAGATATGTATTCGATAGAGACTATCATCGATCTAATTTTGATTCTATCGAAAACATGGGTACCGGAATATCTAGTAATTCATTAGGGGTACTTAGACAACAAATGGATGAGAGTAATTTTGAAATGGTGAACATGTTATCACAACAATTGACTACAGTCTTAAGTCCATTAGTGCAAAACACTACTGCTAGTTTTGAGATATTAGCAGACCAAATGTCACGAATCGGGGATGCATTAGATGTGCCTCGACGAACAAGGGTAGAAAATCATGCTAACCAGAATATTAATATTAATCCCCCATATCTATTGAGAAGAAATAGAAACAATGATCAACAGCTGCGTATGGGACATGAGTATCAACATGTGAGGAATGATATTTATGGGAATTTGAACGAAGGATTTCAAAATATACACAATCAGAATAATATGTTGGGACAAAGGGTGAATTTACAAGGGATGGAATTTAGACCACCTAATCAGACATATTTTGTATCTCCCTTTCTGGATGCGATTCTCGAGACAGAATTGCCTCGAGGATATAAAGTACCCAAATTCACCAAATTTGTTGGAGAAGTTGGTGAATCGACTATCGAGCATGTAGCTCGATATCAGATCGAATGTGGAGACCTAGCGATGAGTGAGGAATTGAAAATGAAATATTTCCCGAGTTCTTTGACTAAGAATGCTTTTACTTGGTTCACGTCATTGCCACCTAATTCGATATATAATTGGCTGCAATTGGAAAGAAATTTTCATGAACAATTCTTTAGAGGAGAAACTCAAGTGAGTCTCATCGACTTGATGAATATAAAAAGATACAATCATGAAAGCATAGATGATTATTTAAATCGATTTAGACAAATGAAATCAAGATGTTTCACTCAAATTCCTGAATATGAATTAGTCAGAATGGCCTCTGCAGGTTTAGAATTCTCGATTAGGAAAAAACTAGTCAATTTACCATTGAATGACATGGCTCAATTAGCTGATAAAGTGAGAAGAGTGGAACAAATAGAGTATGAGAAACAAAGGTATAAGAAATATGAAAAACCTTTAAAAAAGGAAAGAATAGCATACATAAATGATGTATATGAGACAAATAATATGACAGAAAATGATATTGAAGAAACTGTCGACGAGAAAGTAAACTTAGCAGAACTCAAAGTAGGGGCTCCATATACCTGTAAATTGCTACAAAAGAATGAAGTAAAAGATAAAATGACAAATCGAACATATACTTTTGATGTAACAAAAGCAGACAAAATCTTTGATATTTTATTGAAAGACAAACAGATTAAGTTGAGTGATGATCATAAACTGCCGTCTGCAGAACAAAGGAATGGTCGAAAATATTGCAAATTTCATAATGTTTATGGACATTGGACTAACAATTGTATACATTTTAGGAACACCATCCAAGATGCGATTGACCAAGGAAGGTTAAAGTTCGAAGAAATGACAATGAAAGTTGACACGAGTCCATTCGAGGCCCAAGTTGGATACCTCGAATCCCAAACAGGCATTACTGATGATGTCAAATTAACAAATTCAGCCTTTATAGGCATGGTAGATGTCACTGAAGACATCGATCCTAAGCACGTTAGAATGGACGTGTCTGAGGAAGATATGGAATTTGACCTGAGTGAATTCGAGAAAGAGTTCGAAAAGGAAATATACCCTCGATCAGGAGATTCTCTCATTGAATTTTTGAATAGAAAGAAGGAAAAAGACAAAGATGTGTCATTATGCCCACGATGCAGTGCAGTGTTCGATAAATCGGCTGCCAACGCTTTCAGAACAGAACAGATGAAGAAGATCGAGAACCAAAATAAAAGGAAAAATGACAAAGTAGATCAAAAGCCCGACCAACGATCGAAGAAAGTCAGCAGAAATCCGTTGGTTCTGGCGTTAGTGAAAATAGGAGGCAGTGGATGAGAAGAGAGATGTATCCTTCTCGAGGAGGAAGAGGTAGACTTCAAAGTAATGATGTCTTCGAAAGACTCTCATATGATAATGAATCGACCACTAGATTCTCAGCCTTCCAAAGAAGATTCCGAGGAAGGCCCTGGAGAAGAGGAGGAAGGATCCCCTATTGGAATAATTACAGAAACTTTGAAGGAAATGTTGCACCAATAGAGAGTCATTATACAAGAGAATTTTTCGATGACAAGGATGATGGTACTTGGGACGAACATCAAATCGGGGTAATATCAATTTTACTGCGGAATATGTGAGCGAATACAAAGAGTATCAAGAACAAATAGATGCCGAGCGGGAAGGTGACTTCTATTCGGAAAACATAAGGCCAAAAATAACATGGGTAACACAAACCTCATGTGAAGTTCCTCATAGGGACGCTTGCTTTCATCGATCCCCCATCGAGGAAATGAGGTTCCACTTGAAACCATTATTCTCGAACATTGAGATTCAAGGACGAGATGGTGAATAGAGTCCTTGTCGATGGTGGAGCGGCGGTGAATATACTTGCCAATTACTATGCTAAAGAAATTTGGTATTGAGCTAAAAGACTTAGTCAAGCACAACATTATGATTTCCGATTTCAGCGGAAAGACGTCAAGTTCGGAAGGTATGATCGCCTTAGACGTGAAAGTGGGCACTTACTCGAGACCTACTTGTGTTTGTTGTGGTCCGGTCGCATGCCAATTTCAATGCATTACTTGGCGAGAGTGGATTCATGGAGTAGGAGCTGTGCCTTCGACGGCTCATCAAAAGTTATTTATGTGAAATCGAGATGGACATCTCGAAGTAATCCCGAGGAGATCAACACGAATTTGTAACATTCGTATCTCGAGTCGG